GGGATCCGAGGTGTCGAAAGTAGCTCGCTAAAGCGGCGGGTGCGGAGCCAGCTGGCCAGATTGATGAGATGAAAAAAGTGCACGCCTTTGTGGCGCGAAGCACATTTCCAAGTCAAAAGTGTTAAAAACTGGCGGTCTCGGACCACTTTTGGAAGTTGAGATGTCGAAAAAGTGCACGCCGTTGTGGCGCGAAGCACATTTCCAAGTCAAAATGCACAAAACACACCACGTTCGGACCACTTTTGGCAGTTGAGATGTTGATAAAGTGCACGCCGTTGTGGCGCGAAGCACATTTCCAAGTCAAAATGTACAAAGCACACCATGGTCGGACCACTATTGGAAGTTGAGATGTCGAAAAAGTGCACGCCGTTATGGCGCAAAGCACATTTCGAAGTCAAAATGTTAAAAAGACACCACGTTCGGACCACTTTTGGAAGTTGCGATGTCGAAAAAGTGCACGCCGTTGTCGCGCGAAGCACATTTGGAAGTCAAAATGTTAAAAACACTAGGGGTTCGGACCACTTTTGGAGGTTCAGATGTCAAAAAAAGTGCACGCCGTTGTGGCGCGAAGCACATTTTGAAGTCAAAATGTTAAAAACACTAGGGGTTCGGACCACTTTTGGAGGTTCAGATGTCGAAAAAGTGCATGCCGTTGTGGCGCGAAGCACGTTTCGAAGTCGAAACATTAAAAACACCAGGGGTTCGGACCACTTTTGGAGGTTCAGATGTGGCTTCGCTTCACTACACTACACTACATTACACTACACTACACTCCACAACACTACAACTACACAACTACACAACTACACAACTACACTACAACTACAACTACAACTACAACTACAACTACACAACTACACAACTACACAGCTACACTCCACTACACTCCACTACACTCCACTACACTCCACTACAGTAAATTACACTACACTACATTACACTACACTACATTACACTACACTACACTCCACTACACTACACTACACTACACAACCTTCCACTACACTTCACTACATTACATTACACTACACTACACTCCACAACACTACAACTACAACTACAACTACACAACTACACTCCACTACACTAAATTACACTACACTACACTACAGTACATTACACTACAATACACTACCTTCCACTACACTTCACTACATTACACTACACTACTCTCCACTACACTACAACTACAACTACAACTACAACTGCACAACTACACTCCACTACGCTAAATTAGAGTACACTACATTACACTACACTACATTCCACTACACTCCACTACACTGCACTACATTACACTACATTACATTACACTGAATGACACTGCACCACAGATAGACAGGTAGACAGATAGACAGATAGATAGATAGACAGGCAGAAAGACAGATAGGCAGGTAGACAGCTAGACAGATAGACAGATGAAAGAGAGAGAGAGAGAGAGATAGATAGACAGACAAACAGACAGACAGACAGATAGATAGATAGGTAGGTATAGTAATTAGATGGAAGAGAGACAGAGAGAGAGAGAGAGAGAGAGATAGAGAGAGATAGAGAGAGAGATAGAGAGAGAGATAGAGAGAGATAGATAGATAGATAGATGGATGGATGGATAGATAGATGGATGGATAGATAGATAGATGGATGGATAGATAGATAGATGGATGGATAGATAGATAGGTAGGTAGGTAGGTAGGTAGAGAGTCAGAGAAAGAGAGAGAAAGAGAGGAGACCTCAAGCACCTTTTGGTCCATCAGTGGCTTCGCTCTGCCATCCCTGATTCGCAACAACCAACCTCTCCTATAGGTTTTCTATTTTTGAAACTTCCGCCATCGCCTTGTGCGGTACTACTGGTAGTGGCTCCAAAAGTTTACCTTCAAATATAAAACAACTAAACCTAAGACTCAGACACATATGACATTGCCTTGTCTACCAAGTGATTTTCAAGACATGATACACTTTGCTGAGATTTGTCCAAATCGTAAGGCAAGAGACCGTTGCTCCCGTGCGCGAAGAGCGGGCAGATGGCATAGAAGTCCGGATTCTCTTGCCCGGTTGCACCTCAACATATCAGGAGATGCAGCTACCTGGCACAAACATCCGCAAACATGACTGAAAATCATACGGGTTCCCCAAACCATAGGGGTACCCCCAAATCATCCATTTATAGATTGTTTTTCTATTAATTATAAACCAAGCATTTGGGGGTACCCCCATTTTCCGAAACCTCCATATGTTCAGGAACTTCCCAAAACCCTGGCAAATGGCAAAACATCTGATTCAAACCAGAGGTGACCCAGGCAGCTGCGAACAAAAAGATTACCATCATTGGGCATCAACTATGTGGGTCCGCAGCGCCCCCAGAAAGCAAAGAGCAACCAGAAATATCTCACACACTATGAGACATCGAGATGCTGGAGGCTAAAGTTGGAAAGACGTTCACGACATAGTTGGCTGCGACGCCCAAGGTGGGTGTTTCTGGTGGAAGTTCCGCACAACTTGGGCAAAGATGCACCTATCCAATGCAAAAAGCAAGGATAGCAAGGTCATGATAGTCCTGATTGTCCCAGCACAGTCGTTTGTTTTCTTTGGACATCTTGCAAGTCTTGAGTTTTTGCCTTCTTTCCCCAAACTTTGCTGGGTAATTCTCATTTTACCATGTTTTACCATGTTCCAGACATGGTGGCGCACCTTATGTGATGGGCAATGCCAGTGCTTCTCCGCAACTCGAGAGCTCGAGCATGAGCTGCATCCTCGGTTGGATAATATTGTCTGACGACTGGGCAATTTTGCTCTGTGATTCAGCAAAAGGATTGGTTAGATATACCATAAATATAATCACATATATATATATATAATCATATATGTATATATATTTTTTTAGACCACAAAAATACCATAATATACCAAATAACATAATATATGTATAATAATTACAGTTCAGACTAAATTGAACACGTGAGTAGCACTGATTCAGTCGAAACTGTGTTTTCCTCGTGCAGCCAACTGAAACATCACAGAAGGCAAACAGAAGCAGTTTGCACGTTTCCAAACTACCAGCGACTTGCTCTGCAGAGCATCTGTAGGGATCAACCTCTGTGAGCTCCATGTCATGATGACCACCCACGCTGCATTTGGGAGTGCAAATCCACCTCGGCACCCGACCAGGGACAGCAAATGATCCATAGAATTTATAGGGGCCCCCTACGATGATACCCCCAGTCCCATAATCTTCCCACACAATTGGGTTTTCTTGTGGGAGTAGGACTTGACAGGCCCTGCCTGAAGTGCTGCCACTCTGAACGCTCATGCTTCGTGCGCCACCACACAACGTTCCTTGATTGGCCCGCTATAAAGCCAGACCCTCAAGACATTGGACGATGGTTGTGAGGATGCGGTTGGAAAAGAACGAAATCTAGATGAGTTGGATATCAATTAACTTGTATACTGTATACAATATGCACATGTATACTGTATACAAAATATTTATTTATATATATATATAATTATATATAATTATGTGTGTGTGTGTGCGCGTGTGTTCTGTCGGCAAGGGTCATCCAGCCTGAATGATATGTATATATATATATATTACACACGTTGTAGTCTGCCATTGAAGGACACACATCCCCACCTAAAACTGCCATGGGAAAAAGAAGCACACTACATTTTCATCTGACTTGGAAGAGCATCTTTTGAATCTTCTCCACTCTTTGGACCGTTCCATCTTCCCAGCAGAACTCCCGGCCATCAGCTTGTCGAAAAGGGAATCGCTGACCCTTTCCTTCGAAGCCAGCTTCTCCAACCTCCAAAGGCACAAAAACCGCGTTCTGGGGCTGTCTGACATTCCGAACTGTTCGTAGCAGTTGCTACGAGTAGTTGCAACATGGCTCTGCTTGAGCCTGTTATTCTGTGCATCTACTCGCTTCACTCGATTCAATCACTTCACTCACTTCGGGATTCACTGTGCATCTGTGGATCTTCTGGGGTCATCAAACCGCTTGAGACAATGGGGCCCAACGACCTTCCCGATACTGCCAGGATACTGTGAGCTTCAAGACTTTGCCACGAGGCCACTCAGCAGTCATCCTGGAAGCAGTAACTGTGGTCGATCGGCACCCCTTCAGTCTCAAAGAATGGTTGGTTGTTGGACACCCTTGAAGTTTCTGGAAGAAGCCCGTCGTTTTGGTCGTGGCATCAAGTTAGACCAGATCCGCATTGACCGTATGATTTATCGTGTTCTGACGGAAAGGTATCGAATGCTGTCAGGAACTTTCAGAAACTGACAATCAATCACCTGCTGATATGTACTGAAAAGAGATACCAATATTGACCAAAGCCCCCCAAAGGAAGACCAAAGAACGACCTGACAAAAAACGAAGTTCTGAGTCAAACCCTGTGCCAGCGAAGCATTCAGCTTAAATAGTCATCCCCCATCCCAACTTGTAGTGGATGACCCAGCCATGTGGTCCTGCTATCCCACCCAAACAGTAGAGGCTTCGCTGTGATAGATGTGATAGATGTGATGGATGCGATCGCAGGGAGCACCGGCCAAACAGGTGAAGATTGCAGCTCTGGTGGTGCACCTGGTCGGATCATGTTGCACCCGTCACATTTAGTCGAAGTATATTGAAGTCACTCAAAGATTTTCCAGGAGAATGCACAAATGCATCAATATTTGTAAACATTGGAAAGCCAGAAAAGGGTAACTCATGGTAAGTCCATGTCAAGACATGCAACGACATGTCTAGGAGTCTAGTATGATCAATGATCAATGTGACAGAAAATGCTTCCATGTTCAACAAGAAAATGTAGTCTTGGTGTCTAGAAATGCCATGATGCAATGATTCCTCAAATTAAATTTGGGATTCACCCCATGCTATAAAACATCCCCACGTCATCATTTTTATGAACTAAACCATCCCCAAATGGGAGTTGTCAGCGGAGTTGTCTATGACATTGGGTGAATCCCACATTAGTCACCATTAATCGGAATGTAACCGCCATTAATCCCTATTAAACACAATTAAACACCATTATTAATCCCAAATTATTTTAAAGCACTACCCATTGGGGCCTGCAGCTTGAGCAGCTTGACCTTGACGAAGCTTCCTGGCTCGATAGCATCGATAGATGCCGAAGCTGAGGAAGACGAAGAGACACGTCAGCAGCACGGACAGCACGATGCCCACCACGAACCTTCCGTCGTTTGCGAAGCTGTGGAAAGGTGACTAATATGGATACAAAATACATATGGATAACAAAATATTGGTACAAAAATCTTACAAAACTGGAACACACCTTTAAAACCCGAAGGATGAACAGGATGGAGTAAACGACCACACTCAATCTCTCTGAAAAGCCTCTGTTGGACAGCAACTTGATGCTTCATGGTGTCATCCTGGCAGTAAAATCCGCCGACCCCGGCCGACGGCAAGGGGGAGCACGTCAGGGAAGAGAGGTTGTGGACAACAAGAAATACAGCAACAGCAGCAAGGAGCAACAGCAGCAAGATAAACACTATCGGACAAGTGTTTCGGTATCCGCCGACCCCGGCTGCGCAAGGGGGAGCGCGCCAGGGAATAAGAGTTTGCCACGACTACTACTATAATGCTACTAAGGTACTACTAAGGTGTAGCCTTGTTAGAGCAGTTTCAGACGATACGTTTCAGCACGCCAGGGAAGAATACTAGCTCCTATAGCATCTACTATGATAGCCAGCAGCAGCAACAACGGCAGTATCTCTCATCAGCTGACTCAGGTCTTCAGTTCTAGTAGGGTTTCAGAAGTCACGTTAGGCACTTTTTCGATGCGATTCTGTGGCCTGTCCGTCCTTCCGTGCCTTTCTGTTTTGGTGCCGGGAGGTGCTTTTGCTACTGTGCTGTCAGCAGCAGCAGCAACAGCAGCAACGGCAGCAGCCGTCTAGTATCTCTCATCAGGTCCCTCAGGTCTTCAGTTCTAGTAGGGTTTCAGTTTCAGAAGTCACGTTAGGCAGTTTTTCGGTGCGATTCTGGGGCCTGTTCGTCCTTCTGTGCCTTGCTGTTTTGGTGCCGGGAGGTGCTTTTGGTACTGTTCTGTCAGCAGCAGCAGCAGCAGCAGACGGCAGCAGCGGTCTAGTATCTCTCATCAGGTCCCTCAGGTCTTAATCTTCACTTCTAGTAGGGTTTCAGAAGTCATGTTAGGCACTTTTTCGGTGCGATTCTGTGGCCTGTTCGTCCTTCCGTGCCTTTCTGTTTTGGTGCCGGGAGGTGCTTTTGGTACTTTCTGTCAGCAGCAGCAGCATCAGCAGCAGAAGCAGACGGCAGCAGCGGTCTAGTATCTCTCATCAGGTCCCTCAGGTCTTAATCTTCAGTTCTAGTAGGGTTTCAGAAGTCACGTTAGGCACTTTTTCGGTGCGATTCTGGGGGCTGTTTGTCCTTCCGTGCCTTGCTGTTTTGGTGCCGTGAGGTGCTTTTGGTACTGTTCTGTCAGCAGCAGCAGCAGCAACGGCAGGAGCGGTCTAGTATCTCTCATCAGGTCTCTCAGGTCTTAATCTTCAGGTCTAGTAGGGTTTCAGAAGTCACGATAGGCACTTTTTCGGTGCGATTCTGGGGCCTGTTCGTCCTTCTGTGCCTTGCTGTTTTGGTGCCGGGAAGTGCTTTTGGTACTGTTCTGTCAGCAGCAGCAGCAGCAGCAGCACCAACGGCAGCAGCAGTCTAGTACCTCTCATCAGGTCTCTCAGGTCTTCAGTTCTAGTAGGGTTTCAGACGTCACGTTAAGCACTTTTTCGGTGCCATTCTGGGGTATGTTCGTGCCTTGCTGTTTTGGCGCCGGCAGCAACGGCAGCAGCCGTCTAGTAGCTCTCATCAGTTCCCTCAGATCTTCAATTCTAGTAAGGGGTTCAGAAGTCACGTTAGGCACTTTTCCGGTACGATTCTGTGGCCCATTCGTCCTTCTGTGCCTCGCTGTTTTGGTGCCGGGAGGTGCTTTTGGTACTCTTCTGTCAGGGGCAGCAGCAACAACGGCAGCAGCCATCTAGTCTCTCTCATCATTTTTTTTGAAGTCTTCAGTTCTAGTAAGTCACGTTAGGCAGTTTGTCGGTGCGATTCTGTGGCCTGTTCGTCCTTCTGTGCCTTGCCGTTTTGGTGCCAGGAGGTGCTTTTGGTATGTTCTGTCAGCAGCAGCAGCAGCAGCAACGGCAGCAGCCCTCTAGTATCTCTCATCAGTTCCCTTAGGTCTTCAGTTCTAGTAGGGTCTCAGAAGTCACGTTAGGCACTTTTTCGATGCGATTCTGGGCGATTCTGGGGTCTGTTCGTCCTTCCGTGCCGTGCTGTTTCGGTGCGTCCCTGCCGCCGACTCTTCCGAAAAATCCTTCAGCCTGCTGGGGTTTACACGTTTTTCGGGGTCTGGGGTGGGAAAAAAGAGGGTAAAATTTGAAGATGCGTTTTGGAGGTCCTTGTTGAGCGTTTTTTGGTCGATTTTTGGTGGATTTTTCATATTTTTTTGGTGCTGTCCACGCGTAAAAATCGTGTAATTTACAATGATATTGTGCCTTTGGCATCCAAAAAAAGCTTGTGACAACATGCTGGAAACTGTGTAAATACCAGTGTTTTTGCTAGGCCCGGGCCACAAAACGTTGTAAATACTGTGATTTTTGCTAGCAGAGGCTCAAGACCTCGTAAATACCGTGGTTTTGCGCTGGTGCGGAGCCAAAAACATCGGTATTTACGGTGTTTGTTTATTCCGAGAACGTGAAAAATCGCGCACACACCGCCTATTTGACGCTTTTTGGGGGTCTGCAAAAACCGCCTCTTTGACAATTTTCGGGGGTTTGCAAACAGTACTCTGCTTGCCGCCATCGCTCTGCTTGCCGCTTCGGCAACTCTCAAGCCACAATGCCAGCTCTGCAGCAAGATGCAGCTCGCAGCATGTCATGTCCGCAAGTTCAGATGAAATCTCCCTCTCTCTTTCCCTCCCCCGACCCCTACAGGCATCGCCGGTGTGCGAAGCTCTACAATTACTTTCCCTTCAACAAGTGCGACTTCATTAGCACAACATACTGCACCTACCGCCTGAGAGCCTTACCCTTGCACTTTTCAAAACACTGTGGAAATGGCAAGAAATGGCAAGTGGCAATGTCATTGAGTCATCGTCATCTGGTCGTGGTGGTTCTGCCCCAGCCAATGGATCTTCTACCACGTTTAGATTAACCAACTCCGGGAGATCGCCAACGAGGAAATGCTCCGACTTGCGGGTTGTGGTGGTCGGTATCTGTGTGTCCTCGGCGCAGGACACAGCGTGTACGAAAGGCTTGACATTGTTGTGGAACTGCATGGCTCAAACTTGGAACTGCATGACCTGAGACCCCTCTGCCAAGAGGAACAGACCTACCAGACTGTCTAGGAATCGTTGACAATTTTGCTGGACGATGGATGGCATCTCTCTTGCTCTCAATCCGAAGTTGCCCGAGGTGACTCGCCGGCCACAAGCATAACCAAGCGTCTTCTTTTGATTGTGGCCTCAGTCCCGGATGGTCAGGTTAGAGCTTCAAAGTATCGGCTGGAAAACAACTGGTAGCAGAACCTGTTTAGATCAGGAACATCTCCACCTAGTTTGAATGCAGCCCTGCTATGCGCTGATGATTCCATGTTTGCTTTGCAGTAGCGTATAATCCTTGTTGCAGATTGCAATTCCGGAACTATGCAAACCCTAGGATTTATAGTGGGACTTGCACTGATTGGGCAACTCTGAAAGATTTTAACAAGCGCTCCACATCTTCAAGTATGTCATCATGACACCGGCTCCAAACATCCGTGTCACAACTCTCAGATCTCCCTCGCAACCCGGGTCCCTCTCGAGCCTAGAAACTGCATCGAATCTGCCAAGGCTACTTTTTTGGAGCTTGTGGACGTACTGCTAGATGTCATGTCTTCGGAAGTAGTGGATGTACTGGTGGTTGTACTGGTGGTTGTACTGGTGGTTGTACTGGTGGTTGTACTGGCGGGTGTACTGGTGGATGTTGTTTTGGAGGTGGTGGAAGTACTGCCGGACGTTGTTTTGGAGGTAGTGACCGTAGTGCTGGGTGTTGTGACCTGTCCGCTATAAGGCCACAGGCCAAGGGAAACGGGCCAGGCTGGGCGCTATGAATGGGGGAATGAGTTCATTCTTCATCTACTTCACCATCAACATTTGGATACATTTGGGACAAAACGGATGCCTCACAATCAAGAGATTTCCAGCATGTGGCAGGTTTGTGACCCATTGTTGCTCATACTGGACTCATACTCCCCTCATCTGTGAAACTGTTCAACCAAAGGGACCATATTTTCGTTCATCCTGGTGCAAATCCAGGTCCATGGTACAGGCACCTGACAAATCCCTTGCATCCTGATGGCCCGTAGCAAGTAGCAAGCAGAAATCAATGCGGCAAACGCACAATGCACACAATCGTCATCTGTGCACGACAAACACATATGATCAATATCAATACCTATCAATTCAACATAATTAAACGTTAACCCCAGCTCGCAAAAATAGTTTCTAGGGAAACAATTTGGAAGACAGCAAAACAGTTTGAAGGACGCATCGCCGACTTTCCGATTTTATGATATTAGATTGTCATGATGTTTCGATTCGAACTGCAGTAACTTAGATGTAAATCCACCATTAAGGTACCAAACCTGAACATGTAATGGAAATCCAGTTTCATCATCTCTTCATGATCCAACAAAGGTCGTGTCCTCCAGGCCTCATAATCTGCGCTGTCAGGCTCACCTCAGCATATCATCCATCGGGGTGAAAGTTGGCCTTTTCCAACCAGTGACCCGGAAAAGATGGTGGTTATAAGATGTTTTAATATATCCACTGGTTGGTTAATATCCAACAATAATCATTACATATTGACAGTTCTTATGTCATGTTTACATTTATTTTTTTGGATTATCATCGCGCAGTCACAGCCCGTCAGGGATGGTTAGCGATGAGATCGTTTGGAGAATGCCCTGGGATACATGGACTAACCTGACGGAAAAACAAACAACCAAACAGCCAATGGCCATTGGGGCCATAACTCCAATAACTAGGTTTATAGGTAAAATATCTATAGTTAATGGGGTTTGTATTTTTTATAAACCAATTTATAACTAGGGGGGCACCACCTTGAATGGATGTGGATCCGCTCAAGATATCTATGTCGATCATCTTCCCATTGCCTGAGACGAACCCCCATCAGAACCAGAGCCGATTTTAAGGATCATTGGATCAAGACTGATCAAGGACCGAGAAGTACAGCAGACTTTTTATGTCCAATTAAATCAGTTACCGAAGAAGCTGTACAACTGTTTCCATTTTGATGCACTGGTACTGTGCCCAGTCATTGGTGATATTGCTCGGGTAACAACAACTGAGCTGCCTGTGGCAACCGATCATAAGAAGACGAGCAAAGCTCCAGTCCCAAATGAACCGGTTTGGGGTCCGGGCTTGGCCCAGTATTTCTGAACGTATGCCATTCACCTTGAAAATACGTCATAACTTAACATAAATAAGACCAATCTTTTTACATCTTTTTACCATGTCTGGTTCAAAGGTTCTGATACCAAATTGAGATTAGAATGGGTATAACCCATTTCTGGACGCTGACCCTGCCAGTTCCCTGCATGTTCCATCTGCATTCTCAAACTCTCAGCCACTTCTCCAGTTTCGTCTGGGCCCCCC